AAAGAACCCAGGAACCCACAAATAACCCACGAAAGAACCCACAAAGAACCCACAAATTTACAGTCATCTGGGCAGATGGAGAACCAAGGATGTTAAGTATTTTAGTCATTAACGGTATTTAATCACTGTTTTTTAATCTTGGAAAAAGGCCCAGCAGGTTTGTGTTTTTTTTGTGGGTTATTCGTGGGTTATTTTGTGGGTTATTTTTCACAAAAAATAACCCATGTTTTAGAATCATGGGTCATTACATGGGAACAAAAATAACCCATTTTTTAAAAAACGTGGGTTATTTTATTTGGAAAAAAAACACAACATACCCCCGATATTAGATTTTAAAGGGGGGACACCCGTGTGTTGGTTCCGGAGGGCCCTGTGCCAACAGAATTAGAAGTATTAAAGGCAAGTCCCATAGTGGCAAGTTATTGGCAATCCCCGTATAAATACTAATAGAAATTTTTAGCTTATTTTACAGTTAAAACCAGTTAAAAAAGGCATCCAACGGACGGAAATAAAAATATTTCCATTGTTTAATATCTCGCTGGTCCCAAAATATTTCTATTAGTGCTCCTTACTACTGGGGATATAAAATCAGTGCTTACTACTTGAGAATTAATATTAGTGCTTACTACTGGATCACCTCCATTACTACTTACTACAGTACTAGTTGGGATGCCATAGTACTAGTGAACACTGCAAACTGCTGGGTAAGGGGGTTCTGTTGGTGCTGCTCTCCTCTCGCAGCACCAACTAGTAGTAAGTAGTAATGGAGGTGATCCAGTAGTAAGCACTAATATTAATTCTCAAGTTGTAGTAAGCACTGATTTTATATCCCCAGTAGTAAGGAGCACTAGTAATAGAAATATTTTAAAGTAGTTTTTTGTGCGGAGGGGGGGAGAGGGGAAATAAAGACGGAAAATGAGAAAAAATTGACACCGGGGAATTGCCAATAACTTGCCACTACGGGGCTTACCTTTAATAGTAGCTCTAAACGACAGAAGAATAGTTGCAAACTACCTCAGGGACGTTGGGAAACGACTCATATCCAGATACTTTAAGCTACTGGACGTACGGCGAAGCTACTGAGTCACGTACAAGCTGGACCTACGGCTCACGTGCCTACTGATATCTAAACACAGTAGCTTGAAGGTAGCTTAAGTAGCTTAAAACCGACTTGAAGCTACTTCTATGCTACTTAAAAGTAGCTTTAAAGCTGCTTTAAAGCTACTTTAAAGCTACTTTTAAGCTACTTTAAAGCTACTTAAAAGTCGCTTTAAAGTAGCTTTTCGGTAGCCGTTGGATTACCAATGTATATATTTATTAATGAATAAAATTAATCAAGGGCATAGATATCATAACTTGGAGCGTTGATTGTCTTTCCGTTAATTATTTTCAATCGTGGGACTACCTATGATTATTATATTTATATATATCTGATTATTTTCAATATTCAGTTATTCTTTTTAATTAATGTTTATATATATATATGATATTTCGCAATCCAACGGCTACCGAAAGGCTACTTTAAAGTAGCTTAAAAGTAGCTTTAAAGTAGCTTTTAAGCTACTTAAAAGTCGCTTTTAAGCTGCCTAAAAGTAGCTTTAATGCTACTTAAAAGTCGCTTTTAAGCTGCTTAAAAGTAGCTTTTAAGCTACTTAACGCTACTTTATTCGGCTTATACATCAGTAGGAACGTGACTCAGTAGCTGAGACGTAGGTCCACTACCTTAAAGTACACGATTATGAGGAGGCACGTGTCTCAGTAGCTGGGCCGTAGGTCCAGTAGCTTTAAGTATCTGGTTATGAGTCGTTTCCCAACGTCCCAGCAGATTCTGCGCTGTGTTCTACTGCTCTAATGATGGCATCATTAAATGGGTCATTCCCGTAAACATAAAATCTATGACGACATACTTTGCATCTATGACTCAACGGGAATGAGTATGTAAAAACATAGAATCATAGATATTGAATTATGGCGGCGGTACATGTGCTTAATTTTGGAATATGGAATTTTGCTTAAAATTAACAGCAAATATCTGCATTTGCCAGCGGGCACACCAAAAACATTGAGTATTGAGAACCGTGACATAAGAATTTTTGAATCGAGGATTCCAAAAAAAATCTATGTGTGTGTGCAGCATACTTTTTGATAAGCGAGAGCCTGCCTGAACAAAAAATCTATGTATCTGTGTCAAAAACAAATACTCTTATGTGTGCACGTCTGAAGTCTAATAAGATTTTACCTAAATCTATGTTTACGGGAATCAACCAATAAAGATGGGAACCACTTTATTAGTGCTGCGATCACTTGTAATGACATTCGTAGTAACTCAACATTCAGAACGTTAAGTAAACATTCGGAATCCCAACTGTGAAGAAATTTCAATTATTATTATAAGTCTAGTAAACATATTTCAGTTGAATAGTAGTAGGCTCTCAAAACAAAAGAAGTCATGTTTCGATGAGGACATCCCGAACCAATTCAGAGTGCGATTACTTATTCTTCATTAAACATTTGCACCNGAATAGAGATGTCACGAGTCCGGAACAGAGAACCTCCATGTAGGATCCCTACCAGGTCTACATGAGGTTCCAATCGGAACTTCGGAATTCTCGTGAACGCGCTTGGTAATCTTGAATAATTCTAATCTTATAATTCTATTTTCATACACACTTAACACCTACTAAGAGTACACGTAATCTCGTGCACACCAGGAACCCACGTTTTAAAACATGGGTTATTTTTTGTGAAAAATAACCCATATTGTAGAATCATGGGTTATTACATGGGAAAAATAACCCATTTTTTAAAAAACTTGGGTTATTTTATTTGAAAAAAAAACACAACATAGCCCCCCGATATTAGATTTAAAGGGGGAACACGCGTGCATTGGTTCTGGAGGGCCCTGTGCCAACAGAATTAGAAGTATTAAAGGCAAGTCCTGTAGTGCCAAGTTATTGTTGGCAATCCACGTATAAATACTAATAAAAATTTTTTGCTCATTTTTACAGTTATAACCAGTTAAAAAAGGCATCCAACGGACGGAAATAAAAATATTTCCATTGTTTAATTTCTTGCTGCTGGTCCCAAAATATTTCTATTAGTGCTCCTTACTACTGGGGATATAAAATCAGTGCTTACTACTTGAGAATTAATATTAGTGCTTACTTCTGGATCACCTCCATTACTACTTACTACAGTAGTTGGGATGCCATAGTACTAGTGAACACTGCAAACTGCTGGGTAAGGGGGTTCTGTTGGTGCTGCTCTCCTCTTGCAGCACCAACTAGTAAGTAGTAATGGAGGTGATCCAGTAGTAAGCACTAATATTAATTCTCAAGTCGTAGTAAGCACTGATTTTATATCCCCAGTAGTAAGGAGCACTAGTAATAGAAATAGTTTAAAGTAGTTTTTTGTGTGGAGGGGGGGAGAGGGGAAATAAAGATGGGAAAATGAGAAAAAATTGACACCAGGGAATTGCCAATAACTTGCCACTACGGGGCTTGCCTTTAATAGCTCTAAACAACAGAATAGTTGCAAACTACCTCAGCAGATTCTGCGCTGTGTTCTACTGCTCTCATGATGACATCATTAAATGGGTCATTCCCGTAAACATAAAATCAATGACGACATACTTTGCATCTATGACTCAACGGGAACTGAGTACTATGTAAAAACATAGAATCATAGATATTGAATTATGGCGGCGGTACATGTACTTAATTTTGGAATATGGAATTTTGCTTAAAATTAACAGCAAATATCTGCATTTGCCAGCGAGTACACCAAAAACATTGAGTATTGAGAACCGTGGCTTAAGAATTTTTGAATCAAGGATTCCAAAAAAAATCTATGTGTGTGTGCAGCATACTTTTTGGTTAGCAAGAGCCTGCCTGAACAAAAAATCTATGTATCTGTGTCAAAAACAAATACTTCTATGTGTGCACGTCTGAAGTCTAATACAATTTTACCCAAATATATGTTTACGGGAATCACCCAATGGAAGACGGGAACCACTTTATTAGTGCTGCGATCAATTGTAATGACATTCTTAGTAACTCAACATTCAGAACGTTAAGTAGACATTTGGAATCCCACCTGTGAAGAAATTTCAATTATTATTTTTAAGTCTAGTAAACATATTTCAGTTGAATAGTAGTAGGTGTGAAATGTTGATAGGCTCCTTAGTGTACGTGATCAAGCTACTCGAGTGTTGACTAATGATGGTTGATGAGTTGAGGTATGTTGTTGCTCATAACCTGTGAAATGTTGATAGGCTCCTTAGTGTACGTGAATACGTGGTTTACAATAAAGAGTGAGGTTATTCACTAGCTATTCGGGATTGCTTCTGTGGTGTTTAATGTCTCACAGTAGGCTCTCAAAACAAAAGAAGTCATGTTTCGATGAGGACATCCCGAACCAATTCAGAGTGCGATTACTTATTCTTCATTAAACATTTGCACCGTTCTACGGAAGGTCCCGTCAATCGAACCAAAGAGAACCGAAATGTATCACAATGTGGGTCTTCTCCATTTAGTTATAATCAATGCCTGTATATCTCATATAAACTAAAAACAAAAGGAAGGCTCGGTTCGATCATGAGATGCGTTTAAGATATGAATTATACGAACCAGACCTAAAGTCTCGGACTATCCATATTTTTAAGTAGAATCACATTTGAACTATTCTCTAGTTGAACTATTGAAATGAAGAACGATCTTCGAAAATTCTTCAGAATTAATCATGGGCATCCTTCGCTGAAGTCAGAAAGGGAGATTGCGTGTCTTTCATGTGCTAGTCGTCCCATTGAAGCCCCATTGATGATCACCACATGCTTTACAATTTTGCAAGGATTTAAATGCACACACCATCTCCGAAACACTCTCTTCTTATGCAGACCGGAATAGTGTARACAACCCTACCGTATGGTAAGAGAGACACGATTAACAAGTTTGCCTGGTAACGCATCATTTTGAACCAACGCATGATGGATCGCGCTTTKCTCTCTCACATTCCCGGATTATTCGTTTTTTCCTTGTTTCTATTCCTTCCCACTATTWTCGCTGCCTTTCTCCTGGATTCTTTCATTGGCTGATCCAAATGTAYAATACCGGATATCAATGAAATCAACGATTCCATCAGGCAACGAACCAATTGGTTAAGCAAGCAATCTCTATATTCATCATTCGCATCATCCTTGTTTTTATAAWATATTAGATTTTAATACCATGTCTGAAGTTGCAGAAGGAGAAATCATGTTGTCATCGCCATCGACGGTGTTTTCTTCGGGAGAAAAGAACAACATCTTTGGAAACAACAACGACGTTGTCAATTACGATGCTTTGGYGGATGGAAGAATGATTGTACGTCCGGAGGGCAGTTTGCTAGACGTTCTTCTCCCCTCTCCGGACACGATGACCAACAGCAGCGACTCCGAAAAACCGGTAGCGATCTGCAATCTGGTTTCCCTGCAGCCATTTTCGGTAGATGGGGTGAAAGTGGAGGCGCAGCGGGGACTATCCAACAACAYCAGTAGTCAAGAGGTATCCCAATACGAGGCAGCCTTTGCCATTGCAATGGCCATCSAGCACCTGAACGATAGCGATGGGTCCATTGTGGACGATTTATACGGGTTGAAYGAAAAGACTCCCTGTGGGGGGGGGAGCGAAAAGGGCAGCAATGGAGTGCTGCGGTTTGTTACCGAGTTTGTCGACACACAGTCTAATCCAGGGCTTGCGATGGACAAGGTCATCCAGATCTTCTCGAGAAACAAAAGCCACGATCCAAAAAAGGATCCGAACAAAAGGCAATCAACGCTCTTCGGTCCGTGCGCATTTTTGGGTGAGTCCTCGGACCTGGTTACTTCCGAAACGAGCATTTACACCGGGCATCGCGGATATACCCAGGCAACCGGAATCTGCGACCAATGTACCTCCGTTCACATGGACGACAAGAAACACTATTCTGGATTTGTACGAACGATCCCCGACACGGACTCATTGGCTGAGACCTTTTTRTCGTTTTTGGTGGAGCGAAACCTGATCCAGACCAAAAGTGGCTCGACKAGGTCACACGACGGCGTAATGGCGATGATGAAACGACCTACTAACATGAGGCACTTTGATGAAGAGTCTGAAGACATGAACTCCRGTAGCACCGGTCGATTCTTAGCAGTGCTTCATGTTAACAACGACAAACACCGAAGGGAAGCTGCTTCCGTATTAGAAGCTACTACGAAAGTGGATCCCACCATGTGGGTGGAAACACTGAGCATCCAAGAAGACGGGTCGAACATTCAAGACAGGATCGCTACCCTTAAAGGACTGAGATTTGGCTTCGTTTACGCCATTTTTGGAAATGACCATGTGGATCTAATGAACGAAGTTATGCTYGAAGCTTACAATCAAGGCATAGCAGGTGAAACGACCCAGACGGCGGGAGGACTGCAAACCCATAACTGGTTCTTCTCTCCCATATTCGAGGGAGGTGCCCTTGCAAAACTACGGTTTCCGGACCCTTCTTCTATATCCTACSTSCATGGTGTCGAGGACAGTGAGYTAAAAAAAGCGGTGATGCTTTACAAAGCATACCGAGGTTCGGGAATGATCTGGCTCGGGGGTGCTGGCCTTTCCAACCTCGTTGAGAACGATCGGTTCGTAGCCTTTGAAAACAAATTGATTGAATTCCGCGACCGCCACATGGAGCGAATTGAAGCCATGATGCCTCATCGTGACAGTAAAGCAGCCCTTTTGCGCGATCCTTCCTTCTTAAATCCCTTGRTCGACGACCGGGCCCAATTCTCGTATGAAGCCACCATTATGCTGGGATTGGCAGCCTGTCGCAAGGCCGCAGAGCAGGATGCCATAGATGATACTGAYGCCGATCATTCGTTGCTTCTCGATGGGAATGACTTTTACGACGAGGTCTTACACACTACCTTTCAGAGCATCAGTGGTGATRTGATCATGCTGAACGAATTCGGAACACGAAAAGCCAATTCCACGTATTTGAAGATGATCAATTTTTATGACTTCGAACCAGATACCGGTTCTAATAGTACTTCSGGAGACCTATATGGATTCAAAATGGCTACCTCGGACTACTACGCAAATGGAAAATGGATACCGGTCCAGCCGTTTACATTTAACGACGGCACTACTGAAACTCCGCGCCCTGCCTCCGTCGGTTCTGCTAACGTTCAGGTGGTCGCTCGTGCTGTCTGTATCATTTGCTTCATATTTTGTGCACTGGCGATATCTCTCTCCCTGGTGTGCATTTGTTGGACCTTTATCAATCGTGACACACGGGTTGTCCGTGCTTCCCAGCCCTTCTTTCTGTATTTGATCTGTGTTGGATCGACGGTCCTGGCACTCGYGATCATACCGCTGTCGGKAGRCAACAGCGGTCTTGGATATTCCGAGTWCACCATGAGCTGCACCGCCACASTCTGGCTGCTTTCCACAGGCTTCATCACGATATTTTCCGCCCTCTTTGCCAAAACCTACCGCATCAACAAAATCATGGACAGCGCCAAGCGGTGCCGTCGCATTACGGTCCGCGTCCGGGACACRCTAGTGCCCATGCTAATTTTGGTATCATGTAAGTTATAGAAATTATGAAATTCAAACGCGACTGCTTGGTGAATTGAATAAATGAATGAATTCTTTTGGAACGAACCAATTTTTGTGTCCTGCGGCGATATTTCTGCCCCTATCTCASCTTGGTTTTCTGGATTTTTTTGTTCMTCTATCGGTGACTTCTCTCAATGTGTAGGCAACCTTTTAATCTTGACTGTGATGACCATATTRGATCCCGTCGAATTCATGCGATTCACTATAACCGAGGATCGATTTGGTAGACCGAATGAKGAATACGGGGCATGTGATTATTCGTCACATTACGAATACATTGCTCCTTTATTGTAAGTACGAGTACATTGTAGAGGGAATGTCTGAATATGTCACTATKCTATCTTGCCCATCACCACACCACGTGTTCGGTTCAAGAGTGTTTCTGAATGGTGATGCATTGGAAGGAGAACAGAGTACCTAATCATTGCATTTGCATTCGTTCTACCTGATCAAAAATATTTTATACAGCATTCTAAATGCGGGAGTTTTGGTGTTTACAATCTATCAGGCGTGGAGGGCTCGTCAATTATCGACAGAGTTTGCWGAAACCCAGTATATATTCATGGCACTCTTGAGTATCGTCCTGGTTTCGTTCATTGGATGCCCAATTCTATTGATGGTGGCTACGAGTCCAAGCGCTACCCATTTCATCGGCAGTKCCATTATTTTTGTCTCGGTGAGCAGGAAAAATTMATGTTTTCAAAACCCGGTTCTCTGTTGAAGAACTGTTCCRCGTTTGTGTCTAAACACTATTAGTCGCAACAAAACTTTCTTCTCACGGATAATCTCTCTCGGCAATATGACTTTCTTATTTTCTTCTGTTTGGTTTCGCTGGAACAATTCACGATCTATGCAATTTTATAATAGTGTGTCTCCCTTCAGCTTTATCTCTTTGTTCCGAAGTATTTCTTCTTAAAAAAAGGAGRCTCCAACTTCACAGGTGCCAACACAGGTAGCAGGGGAAAGTATTTTGGATCCAACAATACCCAAACTACCACTAATCTTCATGGGCAAAATAATTATAATCTTCATTCGTCTTTGGGAGGTCGTAGCGATGGCACAGGCAACAGTAATRACTGCAATAATGACGATGGAGAAGTTATTCTTTCTACGAAAACAGCGAGAGAATTGGCGAGAGAAGTGGCGAGGCTTCGGGATCGGCTGCGTGCCCATGAGAATACAGAAGGATCAGCACAAAAACCAGAGGAAGCTCCGAACACATTGTTTCTTTCTCCTACAGCTGCAAGCAAAATCACCGTCAGTAGTAGTGAAATATCCTCATCGAAGCGGGATTYCAGTCMAGTCTAACACGGAGCAAAAYACCCRTGCAGAATTTTCTCTCAGCAGTAGGTTTAACTTCCGGCTCGAACTTGRATTCGAAGTACGGCGTCGGTGAGCGCTTTGWYTCGATTTGTAAAGTACGCGCATAAATTTATATAATAATCCAAAATGATGTAGTTTTACTTYYACTCTGGAGTTGTCTTGGAGGCGCGTTGTGGGAGAATTGTTTCAAGAGAACAGGCGTRGAAATGTTGCATCGCACGATGATTCTCATTCTCGTAAAAGCGTTCGACTATTGCAAAAAATAGGAATCATACCAGTATAAATAASACTGTTTCCTGAGTAGCAACAACCATTCTTTGCTGCGAGCCGAGGGGATGCCGTCAGCAAAAATTAGATTGAAATCTTCTTTTTCAGCGATGCATTGTATGATTTCGTGATTTTCCGTTGCAACTTCTTGGCAAATGCTGCACTCGCACATTCCGACCGACTGCACTTTTGTTGCCTCCGTTCCGAACTGGGGAAAACCAAGCCCGCTCGGTGCCTGCGGCGCAGCATCCAGCATCCAGCATCCGAGATCTCTTTGTTGTGTTTTCCTCCTACGAAATAAATTCTTTCGTTGCGGTTAGTCTCCGTCGCCCAACGCTAGAAATTCGAGCTTGTACGACCATTGCTCTTCTTCTGTCCCAACCACCAACCAGAGCCTTTCTTCTAGGCCATCGTTGGCATCATTTTGCCACAAACCATTCTGGGCGATCCGGATGGTGGCCMTGTCCGAATAGGGCTTGTTCGCATCGCAGGCATTGCTCGCACCACCCCGTGGGGCCAGGAATCCCGAAGAGGGCRCAACACAAAGCAGATTGGAGGCCTCTGGAGATGGCAGCTCGACAAACCCTCCACCGTCCGCTGCGSCCTCCTTCACCATAATCTTAGCATAGAATTTTTCCCAGGTTCGTTCCTGGTTCCGAATTTCAATGGAAGTGAAATGAAACATTCCATCCATGGGATCCGCGTTGGAGGGAAGCTTCAAGACCTTGCAGTCRTTCGGATGATTGCTGCCCGGCGGTTCGATCCTTGGCGCCATCCGCTTGGCCCAGTTGGGGAGCTCCCCGCCATCGTCGTCGCCTGTGTCTGTGGCAAAGAGCTCTTGCTGTGMACCACCCGAATCACCGGTGCCCGAAAAGGCGTCGCCGTTTTGAAAGAACGCTCCCCCGGTGGCATCGCTTCCGAATTGGTACTTTCCCCCGTGCAACCCCCCAACGACGTYCGCAACGGAGCGGTATTCGGAGTCGCTGCCTTGGTTCTCACCAAGGCCTCCCTTGCTCGAGAACAGAGCTACGGAATCCGGCAATGAAAGGCGGTTTTCCAAGCAGTCGATRCCGGCATCTCTTTTGACATTCCGATTGGCAACGGACACGCCGAAACCTTCAACGACACTTGGTTGGGCGAGGTAGTAATGCCGACGGCGCTGCCGCGAATAGCAAGAATGCTCGTGCCGGAAGGATTCGACAAGCAGCCGCAAGGAGAAGAAAATCCAGAGCACCGCCGCAAGTGCCATTGTGTTTGTGGTTCCTTCGTTTGAAGTCSTCGCAGCACTGTCTCGAACCAAGCGCTGGGTGGTTCTTGTGATCAGACCTGGTGATTCTGCTCGTCGTAAACCTTAAATCTCACAGTACAAGTGAACGATGGAAACCCGTGCGAAGTACGTACGTACCTTACGGGTAATTCTGTACGCATACAAGATTAAAAATTATGAAAAAATATCAATTCTGTACATCGTACAGTATGTACCAGCGTCGCGCAGTAGTAAAATCCAACTTTTTTCATGCAAAACCAATGCCAATCGTATCGATGTTACGAACTCCGTTAGTTTACGTTACAGAACCTACTTCGAGGAAGTACTTCGTACGTACGGTACGTATTGTACTTCTCCGTAAATAATTACTTCTGTGTGTATGGCCCTTGACTTTACGTAAGCTATCGTACTACGTACCATACTCGTAATGATAACTGTACTTACGTATAGTTCTACGTCCGTTCGTGGGATTACTAGTACAAACAAGAATTGTACGAAACACACTTCGTCGCGCAGCAGTAAAATCCATTTTACGAACTCCGATACCCAACCAAAACTGATGAAGTTCAAAATCCGTCATACAACAACAACCAGTTTGGGGTTGGATGACTCAAAACAATGAATGCACAATACAGAAACCAGAAAGGGTTTCAATTATTGTATGTGATACACTACAAAGTACGCCTCTGACTTCTTCAATTGCACGTATCTTCATTGGAAATACTGCCAGGGATCTCTGATGCTACACGTGCCTGGATCCAATTCGAATTGTCTCCACGGCAACCTCTATTTTTAAATTTGAGAAGAGAAGTCCTTAAAATTTGTCCTTTAAAATACATTTTACTATTTTGAGAGTCACATATATCAAAATACTATTCGAGGACATCGTCCGGAGTTTTCATGTCGTTGAAACCTGACCCGCCCGCATCGTTTTCAAATAGCATCGCAGAATTGCCTTGAACAATTATYTATGGTTCAACAACGACGGGGGCATCTCCGGCCTCGATGTCGTCATCATCGCCCATGAGCTTCGACAAATCACGCATAGATTCGGATTGCTTYTCGTTGATTGACTTCAAGATGCTGATTTCCAACTTCATGGCCTCTTCGAAAACAGCCTTCTCTTCATCAGTGRCGGCGACCTTGATTTGCTCACGAAGTTCAGCAATGTTTTCCATGACCTTCTCGCGCTGGTTGGTGAAGTTTTGTTCGACCAAGTCCATGTATTCGCGAGTGATTCTAGGGGCTCCAACAGCGTGGGCAGGAACATTGGTTCCAAGATCAAGGTTGGCGACAACATCGTTGTCATCGGCGTGTCCCTTGGCGGCACGTTCTTCAGGGGTTCCRACGTAAACTTCATCGTATTGGAATCCCATGACCTTGCGTTGGCACCAGGCAAGGAACCAGGCGGCGTAGCAGATACCAGTGGCCTCAAGGAAGAGAGCAGCCTGGAGGAARACGTAMACAATTGGATTGCTCAAGAAAGCAATGGGGAAGCTGGAAGCAACCAATTGCCAGGCGATAGATCCAAGAATAGTGGTGGTGATGGCTCCCATGAATCCCAAGTTAAGCATCTTTTGGATAGGGTCYGAGACTCCGAAGATGTTTTCATCTTCACCGATAACAATGTTGACGGTGGTAACACGAGCAATGACGAAGAAGCAAAGAGTGACAGTCATCTGACGACCGCACATGAATCCGGGAAGGTTACGGCCACCGTTTCGGAACAAGCAGTCACAGGTCTTGAGAGCCAAGTTAGAGGATCCACGTTCAGACTTGGGGAGCTTGGCAACAGTGAAGAAGGCAATTTGCATACCCTCAAGAAGACCGACACAGCACATGAGGATGAAGAAAAGGAGAAGGGAGACAGTCTCAGGGATTCCTTGCCATGCGGAGGTCTTTCCACGGTAGAGGGCWTCGATGGTGACAGCAAGAGCGAATCCAAGAACACCAAGGGAGAAAAGAACACGTCCCCAGAAGAAAATAAGAGTGAATCCGGTCTTGGGGGGTTCGTTCGATTCAACAGGCTTGCCAGCGGCCCAGTAGGCCATCATACGGATCAAGTAMGARGTGTGCATGACACCGGTAACTTCGATACCGGCGGCAACCCAGTAGGTGAAGGTCATGAAATGAGTGTTGATGTAGTCAAGCATCATGTGGGAGGCGTTACACTGGGAAGTCAACTGTCCGACAATGACGTTCTGCAAGACCATAGCAATACCAGATCCAAGGAAGATGGCAGAGACCCAGTCAGGAAGTCCGAGGACCTTGGCACCAGAGAGAGGAGCTCCACAGAGTCCAATGGTGAAGTTGATGAAGATAACCATGAACTGACGTCCCATGAGGTATCGGTCGAGGTTGTCTCCCTTGTGTCCCCATCCGGTGATCTTGTAGGTGATAGGGTGGGATTCACGGTAGAGTTCACGGTCGATGGGGGGAAGTCCAACCATGGAGCACTGTCCTCCTTCAACCATGGACATCCAAATGATAAGAGACCACATGATGACTCCGGCAGCGATAGGGTGGACATCGCGGGCCAACTGGGTGTTTCCGGTTCCGATCAACGCCAACACAACRACGATGGAGAAGACCAGGAGGACGAGGGAAAAGACAATACGGAGTTTGTCCAGCGGAGTGCTGATTCCGTGCGATKCGTTATGGACGGACATGGTGAAGAGTCGTTTYTATTTGACTGTTACTCGTTGTCTTTTAGTCTCTTTCTTTGTTTTGATTGAAGAGATGTTMATATTATGAGRGAAACCYAAYTTTCACAATTGAAGAACAAAATCGTTTTCCATCAATAGACTCCGTTCAGCGACAASATTAGGCGACGTCTAGGAATTGAATAWAAMAGCATAGCAAGCCAGGTTTACCACCGTAAATCATTTCTTATCCTTTTACCATAATAGTCGCAGTTCGTTAATACACTAATAACGKCTTTMTAACKGTAATACTGAAGGTATCGGATTCTGCGCSTAAAGTAWACKACGAAAAATTGTCACCCATTGTTTTACCGCTGGAAAGAATACAACGGACTGTTAACATTSATTATATTCGTATGTTWATACTTGAATTTCTACGGGGATAGASTTCAAAAGWTTCTAGTAGTAGTATCCGTTAACGAACGGAAAAATGAAACAAATCGTAACGGTCATGCCCCCGAGGCGGGGAGCATGTCAACCGAATAAAAAGCCGAAGAGGTACCGTACCATAATTACCTTACGAAAAGGTACGGCCATCCCATTTTCGAAGCAGAAAAGCTTCACCAATAATACAGTACGTAAAAGTACCGTACGTAGTCTACTTCTACTCGAAACGAAGAGGTTCATGACGTCATACAGAGTAAAAAAATAAGCTGTTCACGGGGACACATACAATGCGCACCGTTCATCGCTACTCAAGATCAKAACCCCGTTTGGCGGGATCAGTAGGAATCGCGTGTAGCTCCTCTCCAACGCATAATTCAGATCGACAAAATAGACATACGACAATAATTCGATTTTTTTCATTCTCCCATCTCCATTTCATGTAGTAATAGTACTACTACTAGTATGGTACCTGCCTAGCTGTACCATACCAAGAAGGTGTACAGTGTGTGCCAGTAGTTCTGCCAGGTAGGAGGGACCTCRTAGCTATGCAAGGTTGGTCGCATGTCAGGAGGCCCTCACCTGAGCTATGGTACACCATGCAGGGGCACCTACTAAGGGTTCCCTGGCTTGGTCAACAACTTGCTTCTTGTACTACTAGTAGTAGCCCCTGGTGTGTGGGACACTACTACTACTAGTAGTACTAGTACTAGTACGGTACATATGTACTAGTACCTCGTCCAAATCATTGTATCCCCATATCATATCTACCTAGTGTGATCTGATGTTGCAGCACATGCAGGGGGAGTCACCTGGGCCAGACAGGCAGGCCTTGCTTGGGTATCCCCCACACACATCCACGGTGGTCTTTCCTCCTGTGTCTTGTTGCCCTGTATTTTCAGAAGACTATTGCTGGGTGATTCCTGTAAACACAGAATMTATGATGGCATACTCTACTCATTTGGAAATACATGAATGAGTATGTCACCACAACAAAGTAGTAGAATCTAAGATATTAAATGTTGGCGCACTACATGTGCTTAATTTTGAAATATGGAATTTTCCTTGTTAAATTGACAGAAAATAACTGCATTAGATTTGTTTTGGCACACCAATTTGGGCTCCCCCTGCACTCATGACTTAAGCATTTATGAATTCACAATTCCAAAAAAAGTATTTCTATGCATACTTTTTTTGTAGTTGAGAGCATGCCACTAGTACCAAAAATCTATGATTCTAGTATGACAGAAACTCATACTTCTACTATATGTGGTGCAAGTCTGAAATCTACTAGTTCATTTTGAATTCAATATCATATAGAGTTGGCTAGCTAATGTACAGTCCCAGTTATAGATTACAGGCTATCTTTTTGCACGTGTGCTGGTACGTATGTACTACTGGTGGTACAGCTCAAATTTTATTCCCACCAGTCGTGCGACCAAAATAATTTTGCCCAAGTGGAAAATAGTTTCGCTTGCATGTGCATGCTGTAGGCCTAGTACAAGTCAAATTTTAATCCCACGACCCATTACACRGTAATTAGATGGCCAGTTATCCACACACAGTACAAAAAACATGTAGGGCACTAAGAGAGGTTCAACTCACTCAAACAACTGTAACTTTTTCCCCAACCAATGCTTAAGTATGATAAGCACATGGTTAAAAAGATAATTCAAAGAGCTTTCTTATGCCGTGGGGGAGAAGGACGTCCGATAAGTATTGACCGATATACRTGTACGTATATCTTTAATTGGTAATGTACGGTTAAAACCGTCTTTTTTGCTTGGCCCACACTATACAATATGTTTAGTGGAATCACCCTTTGGGTCATTCCCACACATACCAAATTCTACCATACAGGTTTAATTGGAGTAAAATGCGTTACCTGTAAAGACCCTATGGCTCTGTACAGGGTAAAAAGACATTTTATTCAAACACCAAAAATTATTACCACTAGTACTAGAATTACAGTTAATTTTGTAGCCCATTTTTTCTTTTGAGTACCAGATCCTACAGTACCAGATTGCATGGAATTGAGCTGATGCAGGAATACACCATTGAGGAAATGAAATGGGGAAAATTCAATTTAAATCAGAACAGTACAAGAGATCATCTTTCCTGGTCATATCTTTGCATATTTTGCAAAAANCGTTGTTCAAAATTTGGTGTTTTACTTAGTACCACAAAAAAATGGCGCCCGCGCGTGCACTTTTGAATCCAGTCATAGTCATTTCTGTTGAGATTCCAGATTCCTCTTTTTTATAGAGCGCCTGAAAAATTGTCCGTTGGGGCTCTGTTTTTAATGATTCCCGTTAAACTAAAAGTCTAAACTAGACTTTAGACCATCTAGACTATCGGGAATGACCCATTTGTGATTCTTTGGTTAGTCATCTCGTATCTTGAAGAAAAAAATTATAGCATTCTCAGAATTGACGATTATTTTCAAACAACAAAATTCTAGCTTCTTCCAGCGTTGTAATTTGATGCTGTGCTGTGAACAAAGGCGCCTGCAGAAGGATCGATGCTGGCATGCGCTTCACCGGTTCCTGTTGGAGGCAAAATACTAACATGTCCCACAAATTCCCAGATAACGACCGAATGCCGGATAGCAAGTCATCGAGCGATGTTTCTTCCACCGTAATTACAAGACTGACGATAGACGCACATTCCTTGAAGGGGATTTCTTCTTTCCAAAGTTCCAGAATCACGAGACCGAAACTCCAAATGTCGCTGGCCTTACCGTAAGGCTTTGCTCGGAGTCGTTCGGGTGACATGAAACGAGATGTTCCCACGACAGTAGTCTGAAGGGATGCATCGTCTTCTCCGTACAACGACGAGATGCCAAAATCGCATAGTTTCACTTCGCCTCGACTATTCAACAGAATGTTGCCTGGTTTGATATCACGGTGAATGATCCTTTGACTATGCAAGTATTCTAGCCCTTTTAGTACCTGATAGGCAATCGAAACAACAAATCGTTCTCTTTTCAATCTTGAAGATTTCGTCGACAATAAATCCGATATATTATCAGTTTTTTTCTTCTGTCTCCATTGTTCCAAAGATCCTCCATCCATGTACTCCATTACCAATACTACGGCATCATCCTCCAAAAACGCCCCGTGAAAACCAACCAGAGCTTTTGATTGGAGTTGAGATAGCGCTTTCAATTCTTTCAGCAGCATTTTCTTTCGCTGTTCCGAAATGTCGAAGACGGTGCTCTTTTTAATTGCCACCGGAACAGGGTTTTCCTTCGAACAATCGATTCCCATGCTGTTGCTAGCATTGATGAACGTACCTTTATATACCTGAGAAAAATTCCCTTGTCCTATTATCTCTCCAATGGTCGTCGAATTTGAAAAGAGTTTTCCTCGAGTAAGGGTTTTCCCATCGCATCGTAAATAATCTTTGCCGATGCTAAATCCATCATGGCGGTAGGTTGTGTCACCAAATTGATAATCTTTGTCGCCAGAGTTCTTCTGGTCGATGTTTGCAGACGATTTGGTGTTCACGGCACTAACATCTATGCTCAGTAGTTTTCTCCGACGTGTTCTTTTGCTAGTCAACTTCTCATCATCGTCAACCAGTCGAAGGTTTTGCCGACTTTGGAGGTATTTCGGTACATATGTTTCCTCGGTCATCATGAAATGGCGTCTGTAAAGTCTGCTTCGTTGATATCGAGTTTTGATCCGTTACTGTATCGAATCAACGATCAATGATGCTAAGCGTTTCAAACGGTGGAACTTAAACTGTCCTACGGTAGTACAGTACAGATTTTACTGTACTACCGGCCGGTACGGTAATCAAATTTTTGCTCGGTCGAGCACGGCACGTGTCGGAGACCCTAAGTAAAAGAAAAAATGAGGTATTTTGTATTTTGTAAAAATCACTCGCACGATACGATTGAGTCGTACGATTGACTAAGACGACTACGACTTATCCGATAAACCGTATGGGCGCGACTATACCCCTGAGCGGTTTCGGCCCACGATTTTTCTACTGGAGAGCGAAATTCTGGCTGGTTTTTGGTCCCCACACAAACACTCACAAAATTGTTAGGGTCATTTTTACAGTTAAAAAAAAATGTTTCAAATTATTTAATTTATTGCTGGTCCCTAATGCAACATACGTACTGTATCGGATGCAACGAATACATAATGTATCGATACGTACATACTGAAAAGGGAAGCATACGTACCATACAAAGCTTCTAAGAAAGGAATGAGAGAACATACCATTCCTACAGACATATCATAAGGTATTATTAATATATATAGATCATACGATCCATCATGTTGATTATTGTAAGAGGTCTAAGATACTATTCGAGAATACCTCACGAAGAATAAAGATGTCACGAGTCCGGAATAGAGAACCTCCGTGTAGAATCCCTACCAGGTCTACATGAGGKTCTAATCGGAACTTTGGAATTCTCGTGAACGCTCTCGGTATTCTACGAATAAATCTAATCTTATAATTTCAATTTTCATACACACTTAAACATACTAAGAGTACACGTAATCTCGTGCACNACCAAGGAATTCATTTTGGATTCAAATATAGTTCAAACCAAATACATTGCATTTCTTCTTAAATCTCATGTTGCAAATTATTTGTGCAGGCCAGGCACACTTTAAGATGTTTCTGTTCCTTGTTTTTTTTCTAGCTTCACCACAACAAAAGGAATCAAATCAAAGAAGAAGAARAAAGAAAGAATGGATTGGTCAACTCCACACCCTGCAAAAAGACACTAGCAATTCCATTGGTTAATTTTTAAAGTTTCTAAACAGCAGTGAAAGCTTTGGAGGCATCCCCATTGATGGTAACATTCATCATCTAAAAGATACCAATCACTTTTTGGAAAAATATACTTAAACAGCAATGATTCTATTTTTTCCATTTAGGAATGCAAAAGAAGAACTCCAGACAGATTCAAAATATTCATCAAAATTCAAGGAAATTCTCAAAAGTGGGAAACTGAAACTGAGGCACAAAAACCTGCTGGAAAATTCCCAAGATTGCTACAGCAGAAAATTCATTTTGCCAAACAATCCTCCATGAAAAATCTTTACATCTTCCTGAACAATCAAGAAAAAGAGATTCCATAGGAAGATTCATTGATACTTGCTGCAACAAATGCATAGAAGATCTCAAGGTAACCATGAWCAACAAAGAGCAGTTTGTCTGTTTTCCATCAGGGGCTGGTGGTACTGGGAAATCAAAAGTAATTCATTCTGTTTGACATTACTGTAAGATGCTTTGCAAAGAATTGGGAGTGAACTTTTCCAACAGAACTCTGGCTGTCACAGGCATGACTGGAACAGCAGCAGTTAATATCAATGGGGAAACAACACATACAGCTTGTTGCTGTCTTAACTGTGACAGATCCATTTTACACACCAGGATGATGCATGGAAAAATGAGACTTACCTACTCATAGTTGTTGTAGTTGTACTAGTTGTAGTTGTACTAGTTGTAGTGTAGTTGTAGTTGTAGTTGTAGTTGTAGTAGTAGTAGTAGTTGTAGTTGTAGTTGTAGTTGTAGTTGTAGT